CTCAACTGCTAGCAGAGCACCTCACCCTCTCTGATTGAACTAACCTCATTATCTCCATACTGATTTATACCTGCCTCTGGAGATTTCCATTACTTGCATCTGAAGAAGTGAGGTTCTAACCCACGAAAGCTTATGCTCCCAATACTTCTGTTAGTCTTAAAGGTGCCACAGGACCCTCTGTTACTTTTCTCTTATAACAACTGCTGTTGGATTTCCGCTTGTGGCCCCCAAGGAAGCTGAGTGTCAGCGACATGCCCAGTCCAAAGATGGGGACAATGCTCTATGGACTGTGCTGGCAAAGTCCCAGCTGCTGGAGGCTCAACTGCTGGCTGGCCCACCAGAGTCAGGGTAAGCCCCCCTCCCAACACCTGGTTGATGGATCTGGCCTTTTGCTGTTTGCAAACTGCCCAAGCAGGTGAGATGCATCCAGGTGTGATCGGGAGGCCAAGTTATTCAGCAAGCAATTCTCTCTGCAGGCAGCTTGCAAACAGCACCTTGTCCTGAGCTAGCTAGTGACAGGCATGGGGCTTGTCCCCTGACTGGGGAGGGCTTGTACAATGAATCAACAGTTGCCTGGATTTCAGATTGCACATTCAAACAGACAGTTGAAATTTGCTCGCTGAGCAGTGTTGGCAGCTGGCCATTAGCCCTTGTGTGTATTCGCACTAGGACACGTATGCAAGAGGAACACAAATAGGCCATGTGCTCCCGGTGGGCCGGGCTAACCTGCACTTCCCAAGTGCAGACTATGGTGCCCATCCCCCTGCCCCAGACATGCAGCTCTCATCTATAACCCGGCATGCTGCCCCCCATTTACCACTCGCCAGAGTCCAGGAGCTCCCCACCACTTCCTGCAGTGCATCAGTGTGCATGCAGATCCCAATGCACCTGGCAGGGATCATGGCCCCCACGAGCCCAGCTCTCACTGTACCCACCTGCCCTGCCCAACTGAGCTGTCTGCTTCAGGGGACATTTCCCCCCCTCCCCTGCCAGTCAGGACCCTGCCCACTGCCCTCCCAGAACACCCCACCTCCAAACGGGAACCCACCCGTGGCCCCTCCCCCCAGGACACTCCACTCTCTCCCACAGGACACCCCACCCCCAATAGGGACCTCACCAGCTGCCCTCTCCCCCCAGGATACCCCAACTCTGGCCGGGACATGCTCACTGCTCCCTGGGAGACCCCAGCTCCAGCGCTGCTCATAAGGAGCCTGCTTACCCCATGCAGGTTTTCTGGCTGCTGCTGGGGGGCCAGGTGGGACAGCCAGGACGGGAAGTCTGTCTGCAGGCTCTGAAAGAGGTCAAAGGTGGCAGATGAGCAGAGCTGAGCCCCCCCTCCCTCTCCCCCTCCCTGCCATACAGATGGAGGCAGGCCTGGCTCCTCGGTGCTCACAGGGACAGGCTGCCTGCTGACCCCGCTGCTGCATTCAACACACGCTCCTTAGGCCAAGGGAACTGCACTGTAGCCAGAAGCAAAGGGAGTGTGGATCCAGCCGGAGCGTGCGGCTGCCCCATCTCTGCTCCCTCCCCAGGCCCCCCGGGCAGTCTGCTCCGTCAATGTAATCCTGCTGGTGCAGATGGCCTCAGAGTCACAGCACAGGCAGAAACAACAAGGAGCACAGGCAGGTGATCAGTGCTGGGGCCAGGCCGATGACAGGGGTACCGCAGGAAACATTCCCTGCGCTGCAGAGACAGAGGCCCCCATGGCCAGGAGCCTGAGACCACTGAGGCCATGCGCCATGGCCCAGACTGCAAACTGCACTTCACTGAGCTCCCCGGGGCTCTGGGGGTAGGGGGTCTGGGGAGAGCCTCACGTGTCAGACCCAGAATCTGGGGCAGCCCCTGCCAGGAGGGACACAGGGTGGGATTTACAGCACAACAAATGAGGGGAGACAGGGTACCCTTGGCTAAGGGATGGGCAGCTGCTTCCCAACCTCAGCGGAACCTGTGGGAAGCAGTCCGAGGCAGAGACGACTAGCAGGGTCCCAGAAGAGTCCTGCAGGGCTGAATGCGCGCGGCTGGCAGGGACAGGGGCGATTCTGGTCTCACCAAGCACAGGCGGCTTTGTGCAGCACTCATTGCCCGGGGGAAAGGCTGCCTGACACCGCCGCAGCAGTCACTCACCTGCTGGCCCCTGGGGTAGAGCCGCAGCTCCTCCAGGGTGAAGTGCAGCCAAACGGGCGAGGGCTGGCGAAGAATCAAACGCACGGCAGTCACCTGATCCACATCACACAGCAACTGCCAGAGACAACAGGGCAGCAAGAGCTGCGCTGCAGTGAGGCGGTTGGGTGCTAGTTATTTAGAGCCAGGGGCACAAGGGCTGCCAGCTCTGGCAGAGCGAAGCCCGATGCGGGATGGCTAGACAGGAGGAGTTATAGATGGGTGCCAAGAATCGCACTCCAGGCCCTTTCCACCAGGCAGGATAAGGACGAGGACTGTCAGCTCAGGGTGGGCCCCAGCACTATGGTGCTGGTGGGGGTCCTAGCACTATCGCAATGTAATAAACCATCAGGTCTGTCAGCCTTGGAGTCACAGAGTCAGGGAGGGGAGACGGCCCACATCCCCAGCAGCAGCCAGAGGGGAAGCAGAGGTTTTAGCGCCAAAAATTCCATTGGGCAATTCACCACTGCCCCCAGCATTGAATGACAGCTGGCTCTGGGGTGGAGCCCTACAACATTACACAGGATTCAGGGAGTAGTAAGAGATCCTGATTACACCACAGGGATCAGGATTCCCAACATCGAGTTTGCTCTTATGAGCAGCACCATGGGATCTGCTGGGACAAGCAGCCCTTGCCTTGCTTTAGTGCTTCAGTCGCAGCCCAGCACTAAGGGCAAGCAAGCCCCCTGCGAGCCCCAGCTGGCCTGCCTGTACCACCTGGCTTCTCCCCAGCACTCTCTCCTCCCCGGAGTGGCAGGCCCAGCCCAGCTGCACTTGTGCCAGCTGTGGCCAAGGCACAGTAAAGGCTCTGCTGCTGCTCTAACTACAGGGGAATCAGCTACCATAGGCCTAGCCCCCCAGTCCCAGTGGCACCAAGAGTCCTGACCTGATGCCTGAAGAGAGAGAAGTAATCCTGGGAGCCGGCCTCTGTGTGCGGGCTGGGCATCAGGCAGTGATTCCACAAGCAGGTGACCCACTTCCTGGCGCTGGCGCGCCCCACATCACAGGGGTGGCGCCGCTGCACTCGCACAGTCAGGAAAGCCGTGTAGGAGTTCTTAAAGACGATTTCCTGCAACTGAGACAACCCAGCGCGCAGGTCACGAGCCCGCCCCAAGGGGAGAGCCTGTCCTTTGCTGCCTAGACAGGCAAGTAGCAATCCACTGGGCCTCCTTTGAGCCACATCTTCAATCCACCAGTAAGTCCACTCAGTTCGATGGGCAGCAGGAAAGGCATGGGGATGACAAGCTCTGCAGAGCTGGATTCTCCATCCCCAACACTGTTTAAATCCAGACTGGACGGTGTTCTAACAGAGCTGCTCTAGGAATTATTCTGGGGACATTCTCTGGCCTGTGCTATGCGGGACGTGTGGGTAGATGTGCACAATGGTCCCTTCGGCTTCACAACCTGTTTCTCTCTGAACGCACAGCTCCTGGCCCCAAGCTTGACATAGTAAATAGAAATACGGCAGTTGAAAACCTACCTGTCCCTCAGACTCTTCGATACAAGCTACTCACACTTTGAAGCTTGCTTCAAAGCCCCATGTTTTGCTATTCTTGTCCGGCAGCACCCCTAATCCCAGGGAGATGGCTGTGGCTCTGCACTACCTGCCTCTGGTCACTGGTCTGAAATCCATCCCCTCTGCTACACTCCGGAGACTGGAGAACTGGGACACACAGTGGTGCTCTCCCTCAGCTTCTGTGTCATTGCCATGGCTCTGGGACAGGCTGGTTCACTGGCTGGGCCTAAAACTGCCCTCCTCCCAACTCCGACCGGGAAAGGCTAGTTATTAAGAGCTGCCTGCAATGTGCTGTATAAGGTGCCCCAAGTGCCCAGCCAGTCCCCGTCCAGCCGGCTGCATGCAGAGCCTTTCCCCTGGTTGAGACTAGGTCCTCAAGTCCTCCCACCCAGCTACTTCAGGGTGGAGCAAGCGGCATCTTTCCTTCCAAAACCCATGGGAATGTTCTCGAGCCTCAAGTGTACAATAGCCCCCTGGCATTCAGCCAACAAATGCTGCTTTTTGTCAGGAGAACAGCGTGCCCAGGTGGCTTTGTTATTCCCTGTCTCCGTGGCAGTGCCTCTTCCTGGCATGCTTTGGACATGTCGCCCTGTCACTGGATGCAGTGGGAGCTGCTCAAGCACACACCCAATGGCACCTGGGTCCCCATGCATCAGATGCCCACCTGGGGTCCATCTGCCCCGAGAACCCTACCCAACCCTAGTGTCCAAATGAGTGTGCTGAGCAAGCCGGGACTCTGACCTTAGCTTGCTGCTGCGTCAGGGCACCCCACAGCATGCAGACTGGCACCCGATGGGGACCTGGGCAGCCCTACTACCCAGGGTTTCCCCAGAGCTGCCCTATTCCTCCTGGGGGACCCTTGGCATCCCAGAGAGTTTGTTGGGAGCCCAGGGCCTTACCACAGCTACCTGGCCCCGTAGACATTGCAGCAGCCCCCCCTCGCCCTGTGACTGTCACTAAGCTCCCTCCCCCGCCATGGTGCACGGGCAGGAGGGGCAGAGCGCCACACGCGACCCCCCCATAGCCCGGGCAGGGGCTCACCCCACACGTACATCCAGGGGCTGGGCGGGGGGCAAGGCCACATCAATGACGGCCACGCCAGGCCGAGCCAGGTCCGTCTTCACATCTCCCACCTGCAGCGCCACAGGGCTGCGGACGGTGCACGGGGCTGGGCGGGTCGCCATGGGGCGGCTGTGAGAAGAGAACAGCAGGTCAGGCAGCAAGGGGTGGGGGGTTTGGAGGGGCCTGGCCAGGGGGGCCGTTCGGGGGAGCTGTGGTCATTCGGGAGGGTGAGGAGGTGTTTGGAGGGGGAATGGGCTGGCCGGGCAGGCGGTGTTTGGAGGGGGCTGGAAAAGGGGGAGGAGCTTGGCTGGCCTGGAGTGTTTGGACTTTGGAGGAGCCTAAAAAGGAGGGAGGGGCTGGGCTGGCGGAGGGCCCATTTGGAGGAGCGGGGGTGTTTGGAAGGGAGCGCGGGGGTGTTTGGAGAGGGCTGGGGTGGGCGGAGGGGACGCTCTCACCCCGCTCCGTGTCCCGGGTTCGGCGCCGGCGGTTCCATCCAACATGGCTCCGGGGCAGGGCTGGCGGAGTACAGGCCCCGCCCCCGCCTGTCTCCATGGAAACGGCTCGCTGAGGACTGCGGTTGCGGGGGCCTGGATGGCTGGGGGGGGAAACTGGGGGACGTCTGGCTGGGCGGGGGCATTGGGGCAGACGGAGGGGGTCTGGCTAGGGAAGCTGAGGGGTCTGGCTGGGGGTGGGGGCAATCGGGCTGGATGGTCTGGCTGGGGGGTATGGTTGGGGGGCATTGGGTCTGGCTGGGGAGTGCTTGTACAGCTTTGACCCAACAAGGGAGCAGAGTCTGAGCCCTGCTCGCCAGGATACTGGGGTCATGGGCTGCCTGGCCTACCTGCCCGGCTCTCCTCCGTACCATGATCCCACAGGGCTTCTCTCCAGCCCCTCCCCAGCTCCATCTGCTAACCTGATCCCACAGGAAAGCCTCACACCAGCATAATGCCATTAGGCTTCAGAGTGTATTCCCCAACAGCCATGACAAGGGAGTTCCTGTGCCGCTGCTTGAGCTGTGCTTGGGCACATTTTGAAGGTTTTCTTTACAGCCAGTAGGACTAGGATGCTGTAAGGAAAGGTCAGCTGCTGCCCGGTGTGACATAACGTGCATCTCCACAGGCGTACTGCCACTGAGCTGGGCGGAAAGAGGGTGGCGAGCAGAACCCTTGTCAGTGGCTTGGCTTGCGGCCCGAGTACCCCCAGCTCACTACGGCAAGCTTGCCAAGCAACGTCAGGTCTGTGTCACGTGGGCGCCCCTTTCTGCCTGGCGGGATTCGCCCCCTGAGGTCAGAAGGGACGATTATGCCCATCCAGTCTGGCCTCCTCAATCATCCAGGCCAGAGAGACCCCTGCAGTCCCCCCACTCTGTCGCCTTCCCTTCACTGTTTCCTTTCCTAGCTGTCCTCTCCCATCTCCTCCCCTTAGCAGATGGATGTTGTGCATTCAGCTCTGAGGTTCATGCCCTGGGAGCAGTGGTTTTTGGTGACACACACCTGTGTGCGGTTCCTATTTCCGAGGTTCCCTGTCTCCCACCCCCAGGGGACGGCTCGTGCCCAGATGGCCTCTTTATCCCAGATGATGATGGGATTGTGTCTCCAACATGAGAGTCCTCACTGGGGTTCCCAACTGGAGAGTGAGCGAAGCAGTGGGCACCCTCTGGAGCCACACAGAGAGAAACCCCATCTGTGCACTGACTGTGGGGGGCATCACAGCTGGTGTTGCATCAGAGACAATCCACTAGATAGAAACCAGCAGTGCCGCATCCTCTGGGCCCATGAGGCCCCATCCCACCAGACATGTTCTGCATCACATGCCATTTGAGGCATGTGGGGTCAGCTGTGAGTTGTGGGCTTGGGGGAAGGGAGCACATTCCTGGAGTGATTAATTGCTTGGGAATCATGTAATGGGAGGCATTGGGGTGGAAACCAGAGGAGAAAGATTCCTGGCTGCAACCCTGGCCTATTGGGTGACCTTGGGCAAGTCACTGCCCTGCTCCCTGCCTCAGTTTCCCTATCAGTAAAATGTGGATAATGTTACTGACCTTTGTAAAACACTTTGCGATCTCGTGATGAAAAGCACTAGATAAGAGCTGGGTCTTATTTTATTATTTTATTGATCATTGCGTAGGTGCCAGTGATCATGACTTGATTACATTTGTCATGTGCAAAGAGAATAATGTCCAAACCAGTATAATTATATCTACACTTGTGCTTTAAAAGGGCCAGTTTAACAAAGCTGAAAACAGTGACGAGTCAAATGAGCTGGGAGAAAGGATTTAATCAGAAAATTGTGAATGATATTTTGGAGTTGTATAAGAACATTGTACTAGATGTCCAAAAAGCCAAAATTCCCCAAGCAAGAAAGACTACACAGGTGAAACCCCCCCCAACAACCTGGCTTAGAGGAGAAGTGAAAGCAGCTATAAAAAAATACAATGTGTAATGTATGGGGGGAAATATAAATTGGATGCTAGGAATTGTAGAAAATTGCTAAGGGAAGCAAAAGGACACTAGGAGTTATCTATGGCCAGCTGAGTTAAGGACAATAAAAACACATTGGAGGGGGCTGGAAAGGGGGGAGGGGCTGGACTGTCCGGGGGGGCCTGTTCGAGGGCGTGTTTGGAGGGGGCTGGAAAAGGGGAGGGGCTGGGCTGGCCAGGGCACCTGTTCAGCAGGGGCGAGGGGTATTTGAAGCGGGGCTGGGCTGGCCGGGGTGTTTGGAGCGGGGCTGGAAAGGGAGGAGTTTGGCACTGGTGTGACTGCTGCTGGAATCCTGTGTAGGGGTGACCAGACGTCCCGATTTTATCGGGACTGTCCTGATATTTCCTTGTTTGTCCCGCGTCCCGATCGACGTGCGGTCGGGACACTGGACAAACAAGGAAATGCGCCGGAGCCTGGAGCCTGGAGCCTGGAAGTGCTCGCACCCCCCCCCACCCCGACTCCACCCCCTCCTCCCCCGATTGGCTCCCTCCCCGAATCCCCGCCTCTTCCCCGGGCTCACCATTCCTCC